ATGTAATTACTGTTTGTAAAGAAATAGACACATCCCAGAGCTCAGGTACCTGTGACCCAGAACCCGTAAGCATTGGAGAGTGGGTATCATTAACAGAATGCACTGAAGAATCTGAATCCGAAAATTTTGTTGGGCCAGAACCTGTGGTTCCTGAAGAAATGGAGCCCTTAAGTTTTGCAGAATCATTAGTTTTTAGTGTTGGAAATGTGGAGTCTTTAGGCATTGAAAACTACGGACAGCTAAACATTGTAAAAGCTATTGCTACATTGTGGGAAGCAAATTTATACACAGATGTGCATTTCACAGTTAAAGGAAATTTCGGGGAAGAGAATTACTCTGCACACAAGCTAGTGCTATCTATATTTAGTCCGTTTTTTGCTGACAAGTTTTGTAATCCAGATGTCAAAATTGATAACACAATTAAAATTCCTGATGTATCTCCCACAGCTTTTGAAGCAATGCTTAGGTAATTATATTTATTATTATCTTTCTTTTAAATGAATTTTACCAATACTTTATTATTAGTTACATTCTATGAGAGGTTAGTCAGATTACATGAATATGACAAAGCACACAATGGCTCTTAAAAGGAGGAATTTCTAAGGGAAACCACCTCATGTAACCATTGTATGTGGGGAAAACTACAAAAACTAGTCTTGCAGCCAGCTGACTTTTAAATGAATACTGGTAGTATGATGGTCAAACTGCCAGTATTCAGCTGTCTTTGCCTCTTGGGTGCTGATGGAGCACATTTTGTGAGAGAGGAATCAAAATAGTGTACCTAATTAAGACATAATAACACACCGAACAAGTACAGTATGAAATTTGAAATTCTGATATTAGATCATCAGTTTAAATCTAGTAAGATGGCATGTAGAAATTATAAAATTAAAAATCATGATTATGATGAAATAATGAAGTATTTATGATCTAAAGTAGCAAAAATTTACAAAAAAAAAAGCTTAATATTTATTTATTTCTCATTAAACATTTCTTCATTGTAAGTTGTTTTAAGTTTTTTTTTTTTTTTTTTTTTTTTTTTTTTTTTTTTTTTTTTGTTTTTTTTTTTTTTTTTTTTTTTTTTTTTTTGTTTTTTTTTTTTTTTTTTTTTTTTTTTGCTAATACTTTCTCTTTTTATTCTGAGACAGACATAATCTCTTGTTTAGTTACATTGTTGATGTCCTGTAACTGCTATTTCGAGAATTGACTAATTGTCAATCGAAATTTTTTTTTTAAATAACTTCTCTGTCTATTTCTTCACTATTCGTAGTTTTATTTTCTGGATCTAGAACCGTACTACAGATTTCTCTGTCCGTAAATTAATTGATAATTGGGGCATCATCGTTGCAATGAAAAACTTCTGTTATATTATCTGTATTTATTGGGTTGGCAACTAAGTAATTGCGGATTTCACAATTCACCTACTTGGAAAATTTACCTTGTTGCAATATCCGAAAACTTTAAAATTAGCAGCTATCATCAATTTAACTATTCTCCACTATACATATTTGGCTATGCATCCACGAGCTTGGCAACTAACGACAAGTTGTTCCATTAAATTTGATATTGCTTCTATCGCACAGACAATTAAGCCTGAATTGCGTTAGTTTAGTTATTTATAGTATTTATGTCTATTTCTTGCACATGCTTAAGGCTTATCAGAGCTCTGAATAAATAAATTCCCACCATATACTTAAGCCTTATTGAGGCCCGGTGCTAGATATCTTACCGCCTGATGCAGTCTCTGAGGGTCATAAATTCTGCGACTCGATGCAGCCATACAAGCCCTAGTGCTGGTTCTGGGTTTATGTGAATAACAAATCAGTTATTCTTAATTCAAATATCCCTAAATATAATCTTTGGGTCTATGAGTATCATCAACAAAATCTTATTTTTAGCATATGGAAAGAAATTTTTGGTAATTTCTTCCTCGTCAACATATTTTAGCACATTTAACTTAAATCTGTAATCATTGCCAAGCATAATGTCAACAGAAAAGGTTACCACACGCCTTTATTATTAAATTACTAACATTAAAAAAAAATTTAGGCATTGTTTCATAAGTCAATACTCAAGTTGTCATGTTTTAATAAACATGCGGTGATGATGGAAAGTATATTAAATAATGATTCTCCAGGAGGGCGTCAGATCAACGATGTATCTATGTGAAATGTTTCGGTTTAAGATGTATGCCAAGCAGATACGCAGCAACGGAACCAAATTACTGATCATTGCAATTTTATGCTAAAATGCTATTTTATAATAATTTTATGCTAAAAAATAATAAGATGCAATTTTATGCTAAAATGATCGTTTCTTTTATAAGAAGGTATTTTATTAAGTGTCAAAGCAAAATTAAGAATCGGAACTCTCCAGATGTTTCATTATGCACGGAGAGGGGAATCAAATGCGCATGCGTAAAGCCTACGAGAAAACGTGGTGGTTTTGAGGACCGAATTTTATTTCATTCCGGATAATGGGCGTCCGGATTTCGGACTTTGTACTGTATTAATTTAGAAGTCAAACAACAAAACTCAGTGTTATATTTTCAAATTTTCACAGGACTAGTTTCAATGGTTTTCCCGAACATTCATCCTCAGCTGCAAAAGCGCAAATGAACGAGATAAGATATAGTGATTAGGTAATATAAGATAAGAAAGCCTGGACAGGAATCAAGCTACTGGTGATATCTGTTGATGAAAAAAGAACTAAAGCATAATTTCTTTAAAGGCTGAAAGCAATGATGGATTGGAATTAGGGTCATTAACTAGAACAGAAAGATTTTTTTGAATGTGAAATGCCTCTTGAGAATCCAGTTGACCAATGGAAGATGTTTTTCGAATAATTTTGGCAGCAGAAATATTGAAAGTGTTGATTTTCGGACCAACAATGCTGGGCATCAGAAGTCTTCGGTGTTTCCTTTTTCTAACATATGCCTCATGTTCCTTAATGTGAAATTTTAAGACTCTCTTAGTTTGACCAATGTAAATTAAACCACACTGGCAAGGAATCCTGTAAATACCCCAGGAATTCATATCTGGAATGGGGTCCTTGAGTATGGAACTCGGAATTTATAGATGGGAGAAACGACGCGAAAGTTAAATTTCTGTAATACATGCAACTTTATAGCTAATTGATGGAAAGAAGGGAATGACAACATAATTTTGATAATCTCCTAAAACAAGAGTGTGCCTTTTGGTGTGTTGAGATGATAACTTTTTAACTACTTGATTAATAATGTTGGGTGAAAAGCCCCTGTCAATAGCTATTGCTTTTAAATAATTTAGTTCTTCATCAAGGGCTAGTTTGGAGGAGCAAACTTGAAGAGCACGGAAAACATAGGAATAAAATGAAGCTAACTTTTGTTTAGTCGGATGACATGATTTAAAGTGTGGTGGAAGGCAAACCGATGAAGGTTTATGGTAAACTGTAGTACTGAAGTTGGATGTGTTACGTGTGACCAGAGTGTCGAGAAACGGAAGAGAATTGCAAGTCTCAAGTTCAAAAGTGAACTGAATAGCAGGATCAATAGAATTCATTGTTGAAAGAACTTTATTTAAATCATCTTTATTACCTTCAAACAGGGTAAAAGTATCGTCTACGTAGCGGAACCATGCCGGGAAGTTTAAAGTTTCAAACAATTTTGATTCATAATAATGCATGTAGATATCAGCCAGGATGGGCCTAAAGGGCCTTCCCATAATCCCTCAGTTTGCTTGTAATATTTATTTTGGAAAACAAAATGTGTGTGTTTCAAACAGAGTTGAGTGAGAGAAATTAGCTCATCAATTTTGATGCAAGACAAATGAAATTCACGAAATCTGGTTTCTAGACATCTTAATGCACCCTCCATTGGAACATTGGTGAATAATGATTTTACATCAAAAGGAACGATGAGTAAATTTCTGGGAGAAATGCTTTTAACCTTTTTTGCAAACAATTGAATTTTTTATGGTGTAAATGTTATTATCTAATAGAGTTCGAAATTTAGAAACTAAATATTTACCAAACGGATATGAGGCAGTACCTAAATTTGATACAATAGGGTGGAAAGGAATACCACTTTTATGAATTTTGAGAAGAGCATATAATCTGGCACAATTCGCAACGGATGGGATAAGCGAATGTTTTAGGTTGCTTGAAATGATTTGTGAAAATTTGATCGCAGTTTTATTTTTGACAAGTCCGAAGGTGAAGGATCTTTAGGGATCGGATTATATGGTCCTTCGTTTAAGAGTTTAGTGATACCATCAATGTAAGTTTTCTTATCCATGATGACTATCTGACCATCTTTGTTGGCCTTTCAAATGATACGTTATTTGCACTTTTGCGGCTGAGATGATAGTTCGTTAAAACCATCGAAACTAGTCCTGTGAAAATTTGAAAATATGATGGTGATTTTTGTTGTTTGACTTGTACCTAATGCTTCCCTAGTAACCGCTGCATTTCATTTGCTAAGTGATGCAGCAACTGTAAAATAAAATTAAATTACAATATAAATATTTCAAATTACAAGGAATACATCTTGAGGAGTTTTAATCATTAAGTATTTTTTAAATACAGTCAAAGTCGTTAATATCCAGACTCGTCGGGACTTCGGCGATTCCGGATTATAGATCATCAGTTTAAATCTGGTAAGATGGCATGCAAAATTATAAAATTAAAAATATGAAACCATAATTTTTTGAAATAAAGACAATTATGATCTAAAGAGTCAAAATTTACAGAAAAAATCTTTTTATGTTTTATGTTTTACTTTTTCTTTCTTCGCTATCGGAATGAATACGAGGAATTTGATTTAAATCATATCAAAGACAGAATACATCGAGATGAAATACTATATTTAGTAAGGAATTATAAGCCAAATAAAATAAAAACGTCTGCCCTGAAGATAAGGATAGTGCTGACAGATCAACTAGCAATTCATTGCGCGCCATGGCGTCCCCCCATCGCAAAGCAGCATGAAGTTGATAAACAGATTTCGGAATGGTTAGATAAACAAAGGATATGCCTTTATCCATTTTTTGCAGCAATTCCACTTTTTGTTTAATGGACTTGAAACATACTTTCGCTTTGTAGATCCTTTACATATTAGTAAAATATATCGGAAATTCTATTTGACATAATCAAAGTTCAAGCTTACTTTTTATAAAATTGCTCTAACAGTCTGCAAAAATAATAAGCCAGATCCAATTCGAACATTAAGGAACAACGCAATCTGCAACATTAACTGAATTAGATAATTTTAGCTTATACCGTCCATTATACATTAAACGCGCATGCGTAAACGTATTTTGGGCATGCACACACGCATATTCGCAGCCGTAAAGGTCTTTCTGCGCATGCGTCAACGCGACGCATGCGCAGAAAGTTTGTAGCTTTGAGGTCCAGATTATAGATCATTCCGGATTATGGGTATCCGAATTAACGACTTTTGACTGTATAAAACTTTAAAAATTTGTGATCTAATCTCTAAGAATTCCAGTTTAATGCTTAAAATAATTTTAGTCTAAACCATTACAATTAGCTCACTAATATAAAAATTAATTCCTTTAGGAATTCAAGATGTAGAATGTAAAAATCTCAGATTTAAAATAAGCTAGTAATGGTTAAATTTCATTAGTATGATAGCAGCAGTTAAATTTTTCAGTTACAGCTAAAAAAGACGATTGATCTCAGAAGTTCTGTTAAAATAAAATCTTATGTCACTTAACACTGTACTTGATGGGTTATTCTTTCATATTTTTTTCTGAGTGTGATCCTGTTGCTCAGTGCCAGCTTCTGTAAAAAAAAATTAAAGCAGTATTTGTATGGAGAACGATGCAACATATCTTTAGCACCATCTATAATTTAAATGTCCATTTCCGTGAAGAATTCAGGCTGTTTTAAGTACCACCCAACATGTTATATGCCACATGAGAGCTTCTTAATGTATTCCTATCTTTTTGTGTGTTTAACTAAGTTGAATAAACATTTTGAATAATTCAATCTATACCTTCTCAACAATATCTAATAGACATCTTTAATATATACCTAATAATTCATAAAATTAATTTTGCTTTTTCACTTTTCAAAGACTTATTTAGAAATATCAATTACAAGATATATTGACATAGAGAAGAATTCGTAGAATAGAATAGAAATCAGCACATTTTGGAATCGAAGATTCCATGAATTGGTGAATTTTGCAGATTACAGATCATGTCTTTTTGAGTTTTGTTTATATTTTCCTCTTTTGCTAGTTTTTATATTAAATCTCAATTATTTGCATGTAAATAACTAATTAAAATGCTTTTATTGCATGAGAATAGTTTCATAAAGATTTATTGAATACAAAGTTCCCCCCCCTTTAATATAATTAAATGCAAAAAAAAAACAGCATCAGTACAGGGAGAAAGCATAATGGAGAGGAGGGAAATTCTTTGGAAAAAGTTAAGAATTTTTTTAAAACATATCAAAGAATTTTATTAAAAACGTTAATTTTAAAAATTATATATCTCCAACAAAGTTACTTTCAAAGTAATATTTCCATTCATAAAAGAGGAAAAAAATCTTAATTTTTTTTTCATAATAGCATTGTTTGCTAGAACTCTAGCCATAACATTTTCTTTAAATCGATTTGTTACACTAATCCTGCCGTTATACTCTGTACATGCAAAGTTGTATTGATAATGCTACAACAGATGTTGGGACTCAAATTTTAGATTTATTAATAAAAAAAATTATATATTCTTTAACTCCTCTTTATCATATTTCTGTATATAGTGGCAGAAAAATTTCTGTAATTGTTAATTTCAAAAATCTATTCCTATTTGCCACCGATATAAATATGCTTGCTTGTTGCATGGAATGTCAGTAAACCATTTGCAAGGCACATTAAGTTAGAACAGGCCATCTCAAATTTTGGATACATGCGTACCACGTGAATTTGAAATTAATATTCAAAGGCAATGGAATACATACCCCAAAGTAAGGATTTATATGAAGTACAACATTTGCAGAGATTCATAATCCATGTTTGTTATAAAAAAAGTGCTCATACAGTTGCGGAAAAGGCTAAATAACTTTAATAATGAAAAAAATTCACTTCAATGATTGTAATGTGTTGGGGGGGGAGGTGTGAAAAAAATGTCCCCAAATCAATTTTTTTTTTTCTTTACCTTCAGAATTGAGAATGGAAAGAACATTCTGGAAAGTATGGTACTTTGCATTTCACAACTGCTTGGTGTGAATATATAATGTATTATTTACATTCTTTGCTGTACCTGGTACATTTGCAATCTTATCAACATAAATTTGTATTTTGTGGATTTACAATTTCTGGCAATGCCCTAACTTGTCAAAAAGGCCTAAAGGGCCTATATAAAATCGTTACTTAATTTACACATAAAATCTGGACTGTTAAGGAAATCATCTGTTGTATCAAAATTACATTGAATATTGCATTCCCCTTTTTTAATAACAGTTTTATTAAATTTCATACTTCTCTTGCAGATTCATGTATGGAGATTCAAGAGCATTTCAGTCAATGGTAAAAAATTTGAATATTCTTCTAGATGTGTACAAGTTGGCTCTTCGCTATAAAATAGAAAGTTTGAGAAAAAAGTGCATGCAGTCAATATCGTCAGCCAGCCCAACTAAATCAAATGTTTTTGTGCTGTTAGAAGCTGCACAGTATGTGAAGTCAGATTCTCTGAAGCTCCGCTGTTACAAGGTCATTCAAACGCAAACATCTGAAATTTTTAAGTCCTATGATGTAGGCACGATTCCTCTCCATGTACTGTCCATGATTCTGGATCGTCCAGCGCTAAGTCTTGCTTCAGAATATGAGTTGCTGAAATGGGTATATACATGGGCAAAAAACCGATGTTTGATTGAAGGCAAAGACAATACCAGGGAGATAATGGAGCCTTTGCTGCCAAAATTAAACTTTTTGACCCTCTCTTGTGAAGAACTTGCAGAGTTTATAAGGAATTATCCAGATTTCTTCACTGAGTCTGAAGCTTTAAGTCTTTTCATGAATATTTCAAGCTGTGAATGGCCATTACCATCATGGGCTGCAGGTGATAAAGTAAAGCGTAAATGTAATAAATTAGTTAGAGAGTGAGAAATGTGTTATTTTGTTCCTACCATGAGCTTAACTAGAAAATATATTTTTAATTTTTGAACTTAAAATTAACAGTTACTACATTTCAATTTATAGTGAAAATGCTTTAATAATTTAATCTTAATATGTTCATTTTTTGTTGATTTCTGTTGTCAGTATAAATAAAACATTTAAAAAAATTTTTTACTCTGTTTTTATATATATATTTTCATGTTAGAAACTTATTTATTATACATAATTATTTCTCAGGGGATTTGACATTCACAGTGCTTAGCAGAGCATTTATTGTCCACCTAATCTGTCAAGTTTTTAGATCTGTGTTGCTATTCTATATATCTTTGACTCATAGAATAAAACTACACTGCTTAACAAACTGCATAATTTAAAAGCAATATGTCTAATTCTTAATAGTTTAACAGTAGTTGCCAGAAAAAGAACAATGAATGAAATTATATGAAAAACATATGCAGTCAAACCCTCAGTAACGAATTTTTAAGGGGCCAAAAGTGTGGTTCTCTAGATCCAATTTGATAAGAAAAAAATACATCATTTCACAAAATAAGGAATCGCAGGGGAAAACTGATTGCATGTTAAGGTTATTATTACATGTTATAATTGCATGTTAAGGTTATTATTACAATTATTATTACATGCAGTTTATAAATTTCTTTTCCTTTGTTTTTTAGTTTTACTTTAATAACTTTACATGATTAAAATTAACATTTCTCAGATATCAAAAGACTGCAGCTTCTTTCAATGATGAACCATTTCAGTAATATTTCTTCAACATCTTATGATTAGCATTTTTAAATATTTCCTCATATCCGAATTTTTCTTCATGAATAGAAATTATTGAGCATACATTTTTCTGCATTTAGATCTAGATAAACTATATTCCAACCAGATATCAATTTGGTTATGCCCATGATGCACCATATTTCCTCATGTATTTTTCCTGTCTTTTTTTAACTAAGTTTATTGCTTGAATATTGAGAAAAAATTATGTGAGTAATTTAATTTTTTAAGAACATGGTTACAGTAAAAGCGTAACAAATTAAAATTAGTCATAGATAAAATACTGGTAACACTTACAGTAGTATTTCTTTAAAAGAAACCTGCGTTGCAATAAGAATATTATCATTTACAATATATAATATATTAGATATTTAGCCAATATCTGATGGATATTTGACTGTAATTGACCTGAACGTGTCACGCTAAGTCCCAGGGGCACCTTACATAAATAAGCCTTGACCGCGGTTCCCAGAAAAGTCATCGAAGGAATCAAGAAGGATGTGGCGGACAAAAGACTCTGATTTTAAAAGATAAGCACATCAGCGATAGGTTTGTTTTGGGGTTTATTTAATTATGACATTGCACTCGAGGGCAATCTGCCTTAGGGGCATGATGTCTTTGTAGAGGACTATCTGAGGAAAACTGACTTGTATGCACATTACACAGGGGGAAAACCACGAAAAGATACATTTGCTGGGATTTACACACACACACATCAGCTATGGGGAAAGTAAATTAAAATTTGAAGAATTACTTGAAAAATGTTTAACAAATATTCTTTTGAAGGTATCCATAATGTTCATTACATCCAATTTCTGTACAATTAGAAATCTGTTATAGCTGCATAAAATACCATTAAATGTATAGGATATTGGGTATGGCAAAAAAATCATTAATTACATGCAGGGGATAGCATAATTTAACTGTATGCAATTTTCTGTTTCTGATATTGAAGAATTTTTCATTTATTTATACAATTAAAAGAAAATGTAGTTTTTCTTTCTGAATAAGGTCATTTGTAAACAAAAAAAAAAATAAGAAAATAAGTTTATATTACATGTTTGTTTGCAAATGTTAAAGACATCATAAAATAAGAGTGTGTAATGAAAAGAAAATTATAATAATACATCCTCATAGTCTTATAACCTCAGCTGGTGTTTTAGTTATTTTATCTGTTATTTTTCTACACTGATATTTTGTTAGGTCATGTCATTCTGTTGTAAAGTTTTTTCAGATTTTTTTAGTTTTTTATTATTTTTTTGTTTATTGTTCTGTTCTTAATCAGTCGGTAATTTTTAGTCAGGTTTAAATCAAACAGTTCTGAAGCTGTGAAAACAGCATAATATCTCCTTCTTGGTGAAAAAATATTTAACAGTCTGAGTGACAGTTTTAGATCATTATTATTTTGAAAAGTAAAACCATCTTTCATGTTGTTATATGCATTTGGCAGTATCATAGTTTTAGAATTCTTATGTGTTACATATTAGTCCATGGACCTATGGGGAAATAAAAACACTCGCACTTCTATGTTTAACTGTTGGTAAAATCCATTAGCATTTCAAATCTTCACCAATTTAGGAGAGATATAACAGATCTTCATATTGTCCAAAACGAATACCTTTAATCTTCATAGGTTTTAGTGAAAGGAAGTCTCATTGAGAGTTGGTTTCTTGTGCAAATTTAAGCCACACTATTTAAAATCTTGTATCGTTATAGCACTGAATTAAATGTCATTACTGGTATTTATTTCAGCTTCGTTATCAGTTGCAGAATGAACAGTCTTTTTCATTTCAAGCAATGAATTCTGTGACCCATTTATAGTTAATGTCTTCCCTAATCTGTTCTAAGTCTGAAATTTTCCTTTACTTGAATTTCAGCTTAAGCAAGATGTTTAAATACCTCTTCTTCTCCTTTCCAAATTAAATTAATTCGATCGACCTCGGCGGGGGGGGGGGAGTTGTATTTTATTTAAATTAGAATTTTTTTAATGTGTTTAAAAGAATCCCACAAATACATTTCTGTTTTTTTCTTAAACTAAAATAATATTTACTGCTGCCACTCATTAAACTAAATCTTAACTGAATAAAATTAAAGAATATTAACTTAAAATGTTTTAGAAGTCAAACAACAAAAATCAATGTTACATTTGCAAATTTTCCGGCGTTATATTTGCAAAGTGGAGTGTTATTTTAACCTAAATTCTAAAATTATGCCATGTATTTATTATTTTATCTATTTTTAAATAAAATTTGTGAAGAGAAAAATATTAAAGTTTGGACAATTTGTATGAAGTATGCATGCAATAACATAGTATCACAGGCACTCATTAAAATATGAGCTATTGCTATGAGATAATTATAATAAACTACTATGAGATTTAATTTATGTATTTGTAGCGATTTCAGAGGGGCGATTGCGCCGCCGATACGGTTGGGGTGTTCTGACAACAGCTTCTAACAGAAGAAAGCCAGGGCACTGAAGCAAGAGGAAGCTCTGATGTCACAGGTAGTTGTCTGACCCACCTCGCTCCTTCCAACAATCTCGTAGGTTACCGACGAACAGGGCACGATTATTTGAGTGAGCGATAAACGTGTGATTTTGTAGGATGCCTCATAAATGTTCTGTAACCACATGTCGTAAAAATTTTAAATATGGCCCTTACTTTTCATCTGAGCCTGAACTAAAATAGATAAAAAGTTTAGGAACGAAAGATGCTTTCAGCTTACCTAACATACAGAAGTAAGTTCGATTTTCGTTGCATTTTTTATGTTTTTGTGTGTTAATCAACTTTTTATTATTTTTATTGATACATCTGTGATGTTTATGTTTTCTTTATTAGATTTTAATCTCGCCTGTTTTAATTATTTCTAAGAAATATTTTTCTTCAAAGTGAAACATTTTAATCATGAAAATTGTAATATTAACTTTTTCTAATTCTGCATTTGAATAAAGATAAATACGAATGAAATAAAGTTCCATAAAACAGGAAGAATTATAAATTTAGTACAGTACAAAGTTTTTAATCCGGATGTCCATAATCCGGAATGATCTATAATCCGGACCTCAAAGCTACAAACTTTCTGCGCATGCGCATATGCATTTACGTATACGCGTAATACCTTTACGCATGTGCATAATACATTTATGCATGCACGTTTAATGTATAACAGATTGTATACGCTAGGCTAAAATTATCTAATTATCTATTTCAGTTAATGTTGCAGATTGCATTGTTCCTTAATTTTCTAATTGGATCTGGCTTATTATTTTTTGCAGACTGTTAGAGCAATTTTATAAAAAGTAAGCTTGAACTTTCGATTATGTCAAAAAGAGTTTCGGATTCTGCAGCTGCCAAATGATATACAAAGCAAAGCATGTTACGATGTCCATCAAACAAAAAGTGGAATTGCTGAAAAAAAATGGATAAAGGCATGAGAAAGTGACAAAGAGGTTAGTGAAAAACGAAAAAATTTTCGATTGACAAAGTTAGTCGGTATTCTCGGCACAGCAAGCAATTATAGGACTTGAACAGCGGAAACTTTGTAACTGAACAAGAAATTATGTCTGTTTATAGAATTAAAAAGAGAAAGTATTAGCACATAAAATGAAACAACTTAAACAACTTACATTGAAAGAGATGATTAATAAAGTAGAACAAATAAATATTAACCTTTTTTTTCGTAAATTTTGATACTCTTTAGATCATAATTGCTTTTTATTTCATAAATTATGGTTTCATATTTTTAATTTTATAATTTCTACATGCCATCTTACCAGATTTAAATTGATGATCTATAATCCGGAATCACCGAAGTCCCGACGAGTCCGGATTAAAGACTTTGTACTGTAGTTACATAAAAGCCAATAACTTGTAAATACTTTCTACTATATTGTGTAGGCAGGTTTTGCAGTTATTCCAAATTCATCATAATTTATATGCCAAGTAACTAACAAATGATGACAATAGATTTCATTTTAAAATTTTCATAATGATGCATATAAGTTTGGTATCAATGTAATTAAAGTAATTGATTATATTTGATACTTAGTATTATAAAAAACAATTATATAAATTTCTTTAAATGTGAATAAAGCTGTAGTCGTCGTGATGAGCATTCTACACTCTACAGATTACTTAAGAAAATTATATATGTAACTGAAATCATATTGCTGGCTTATTTATCAAAGTACTCATTTAAATCATAGGGCTCCTCAGCTTCTGTTACTAAATATTAACATACATGTAACTATTGTAATCACAACAAGTTAATTTTAAAATATTTTGTTTCATAGATGTGTGACTTGCATTTTTGAGTGGATGAAGAAGCACAAGAAATGGAAATGTATGATGAGGAATCGGCAAAATCGATTAAAATACCAATTTCTC